AAGCTGCCGAAGCAACCCCGTTGGTTCAGTTTGTCAGCACGGTTGGGTGCCCACGGGCCCTCCCGTGAAGGAGAGAAACGGGGACACATGCCCTTGCGAACACGCGCCACCTCCCGTGGAGACGGGGTCGCCGCCACAAAATCCCAAACCTAGACGGTGCATAGCCCACAGACTACGCGAAGCCCATTGGTCTCTTCATTCGATAAGTGAAGCAACGTTCCGAGTGGTGGTATTTCATTTGTGCTTGCGCTTCCACCTATACTACACCTCAGATGTCGCCGCACAGAGCCAGACTGGAGTCAAACTCAACAGGGTCTTCTTTCCCCGCTTAGCCCTTCAAGTCCGTTCCCTTGACTGTCGTTTCGCTAGATGGTAACTCGGGACAGAGGGAATCTCATTAATCCATTCATGTGCGGCACTATTGGCGCCACAGGGAAGTGTACTTACGTAAGGGAGTCACACCGCCACTCCAGTCGCTCACGCACATGTAGCTGGATATCACCACGCCGTCATTCAGTGCACCCCACAGAGGTCACAGTGGAGTGGTCCAGCAACACAACGGTGTCCTTCCCACTCACATTGCACACACAATGACAGTCTCACATGCTCATGTCAGAGAGGCACTGCGGTATTCACTAAAATGTACACTAAGTCACACACCTACAGAGAGGAAAAGAAAAACACAAGAAAAGAACAACAACAGGATACCAACAGCACACAAAGCACTCACAATACAATAATCACAGGTGACACTCTCATCAGAGAAAAACATTCACACACACCAGCACATCAACTCAACACCAAAAAGGAAAAAAAACAGACCCATTACGTGAAGTCGAAGTGGAATGGTCTCGGTCCCTCCCCGCAGGCTGCAGTCACTCAAGCAAGCCACACAACAAACACAAACCCAGAAATATTTTCGTGACACCACCCAGAAAGAGAGAAGGTGAGAAGAAAGAAATGTGTTTTTATTACGTGGGTGGTGCGAGTAGCAACCCAAACACACAAAGGAACACACAACAGAGGGGCACACTCAAACACCTACAACCCATCAACCTTTATACCAAAATAAAAATGTAAAAAAAGAGTGACCGACTGAAACAGACACAATAATAGAGCAAAAGAAAGAAAAAAAAGAGATTCATTACTTAATGTGGCTGCGATGCCTGGAAACAGTCCAATTCACTCCAAGGTTAACAACGGAAAATCATTGTGTACTGAACGTGCTGTACCCATATCTTTACTCTTGATGTCCCTGCAGCAGTTTGTATATAATGAAAAAAAAGAGAATCATTCCATAAAAATGAACACACAAGATACACAAGGTGTATCGGAAACGCAAGAGAGAAAAACACACAGCTGCACATAACGTGCCATGAAATTACAATGAGAAACACAGACAAGGGAAAAACAAAATGGAAACAAAACAAAAAGGAAAAAGCCGTGATCACCATGTGAATATGTTCAGGGGGCAAGCAACACAATTCCCAGCAGTAGGTGTGTGTGTGTGTCTTTCGTACAGGGCGAGCAATGGGAATGATGCACACATGATGACAGTCCACACACACACACAAAAACAGAAGGAAGGTTGGTAGTGTGCGTGTTTGTGTGTCTTGAACCTCCTGCCATTCTTCACATTTCAGTCACGGCAATTACAACACATCGGGATTGTATTCCATTCCCATGGGTAAAAGCAATAGAGTTATTAATATCACGGAACACACACACCTCACTGGGAGGGCACAGTGAATGGCAGCTAAACAGAGCCCAGACAATAATGCGAACAAACAAAGAAAGAGGACAATCCCCTCACAAAATGATGGTTTGTCATGTGTTGAGTACCACAGTAGCCCAATAGATGTGTTCAGCAAAAAATGCAAACAAAAGATTTATCGAACTAAAAAAAAAGAAAAGAAACATTAAAATTCAATAAAAAGAACAATGCACTTACAATGCGCCCATATCCACTCAAACAAAGGTTAACTGTGCAGTTCTGTCATGGGAACACCGATTAGCACACGAGAGTGCAACCCAAAACACACAACAGAAGCAGCAGCAAAGGACCGTGCATCAAAGAAGGACGGACACTGTTATCTTTCTTTTTTTTGGTATTTCTCGCCAGCTCTTTCTTGGCCTCTTCAGTAGCTACTCGCTTCGCCTCCTCCTCCTCCTGTGCCCTTTTCTTTACCTCCTCCTCAACCCTCCTAGCCGCTTCTTCTGCAGCTCTTTTTGCTTCTTCCTCTCTCCTTATCCTTTCCTGCGTCTCTCGTGCAATCCTTCTCTTCTCCTCCTCAGCCCTTCTTGCCGCATCTTCTGCAGCTCTTCTCTCTTCCTCTCTTTTTGCCCTTTCTCGTGCAATCCTTTTCTTCTCCTCCTCCATACTTTTGGTCGCAACCTTAATTGCCTCCGTCATGTTTTTGTTGACCTCCCCGTACACCTTCTTCTTTCTGGCCTTCGTTTCTCCATCCCCCTCCTGCGTTACCTTATCAATATCCTCTTTTGGTTTCTTGATGTCCTTTTTTATTTCCTCAATCACCTGAGCATTTTTTTTCGTGATGGCCTCTCCAGAACCCCCACCAATTGCACGTTCCTCTGCCAAATTCTCAAGATCATTGAGCTGCTCGTACGCCTTCTTCCAGGCATCCACCTGGTCACTGGCTTTGCCCACTGCAAATCTATCATGCACTTTCACCTTACCAAGAAGATGTGTGACGTTTTGCAATGTGTCGCGCACCAGCTCGCCTATTTTCTTCACCCTCATTGCTCTCTCACTCGTGTTGTACTCTTGCTCCGCATAATAACCAAGTAGCTTTAGTTTGTCCTTAAGTCTCCCCAAAACATGGTCCACATTGGAACGTATGGCCGAGCACAAAAGCTCGGCTTGGTGCGCTTTGGCAATTTCAAATACCGTCTCTCCATTAGGTGCTTTGTCCTTATACTTTTTCAGTACGCTTCGTATCTTCTCGAGTACCTCATTAAACTCCTGCGCCCGGGTATTTTTCGTGTCAACTACCTTTGCTTTCTCGTCCTCCTTTATCTTTGTGACCTTTGCGAGAAGATCGTTGATCTCTTTGGTGGCCGCCTCAGCTTCCCTCACCGTTTTCTCATTCGTTGCGACCACTCTTTCCCACTCGGCCTTACAAGCCGTTCCGTTTTTATAATGAATCTCCGAATCCTTGACGGCCAACAACAGATGATGCACTGTGAGCGGCAACTGATCAACTTTATTCAAAACGTCATCCTGCTTCAGCTCATCCAGGGAGTAATTAGGAACATCCAGAAACAGCCCCAGTGCATCCTCTTGGTTTACCACAGCCTCCCTTTCGCGCCGACTCAAAACGTCCATCTGCGCGTTTGCGTACACCGAACTCGTACAGAAGTGCAGAAGTACCAACAGGTACACCACACGGCGTAGTTGGACGAACATCGTTGTCATGATTGCCGCTGTGGGTTGCTTGGATCCATGGCAACAAGGAAGAAGAGGAAAAGGAGAAAAATAGACACACATTTAACACACAAGGCAGTGGGTACACAGCAACACATAAATAGAGAGTGAGAGAATACACATCACAACAGCAATCAAACAACAACCCAATGAGGGAACACAACAGTAAACCACTCACACAATAAAACACACCCAGAGTTACACAAATATTGAAACAACACCCTGCACTTAGAAGAAGTGGAAAACAAATGGTATCAAAACAATATTGAATAAACGTCTCTACCCAGACACTCCAATATCTTACTCGGTATTCATACACACAAAGTGTGTCCGTATTCTCATTATAATAAAACCATTACCAGGCAGTTTGAACACCAAAATACACCAAAAACACAGTGTACACGCCTGGCAACATACAAAAACAATACCACAAATCATCAGCAAAACAAAGAGACTGTACAATAATCAACACACTTCCAAACAGAAATAGAAAGAAAAGAAACCAATGCATCACCCATAATATTTATACCAACACCACAATTGGAATCCAAAACCCACTCACTCACAACCATAACAAAAATGACTGCATACATCACTGTAATACCATGCCACTCTTTACAAACAGAAACAACACACAATTACTCTCTCACACACACATATTACCTCTTTATTTATCCTTATTACTATTATTTTGTTTTTCCCTCAGAATGCCGGTTCGCCTCTTCTTCTTCCACAGCATTATCAGCAAAAAAAAAAAAAAAACATCAAAACACACAAACTTTACTCCATGGTGTGTATTAGGAGGGTACGATCAAACATATCCCCCCACCCAAAAATGACCCCACACCCCTACCACGTTTTTCTTTCTGTTCTCCGTGGCTTTATGGATATTACTCCAATGGCACGGCTATCAACCGTACACCGTAGAGCAATTTAATTACCGACTTAGGAGATGCTCCGAAGAAGAAGATCCCTTCATTTTATAGGATCCTCAAGCTCTTGTAATATGATTTTTTGTTGTAGCCCTTTCCCATACGAGAGAACCAGTCTAAGAGAAATCTGATCGAGTAAACCCTACCAGATCTCTCTACTCTCACTTTTCTTACCCACAAACCCATCCTCAAGTCTCCTTTTGTTATTATTTTTGGGTTTGTTTTTTTATAATAGATTGGCCTCAATGAACTCCCATTTTTTTGTTGTTTGTTTGGTCGGCGACAGACGTCTTGAGCGTACTCTTCTATCAGGGTTTCCATATTCGAGCTCGTCGCTGATTTTAGAGAGGTGGGGGAGGTAAGTTGCGTAGGGTTTCTTGGGTGTGAAGACTATGGCATAGCGTAGTTCCGCTCCAACGAAATAAGGAATTGTGCTAACCTCTTAGAAAAACATAGTTTCATCAGGGGTATATCATCAACGATCGCAAATTGAACTCGCAGTGGATGAAGAGCGGTGCAACTCAAGAGATGCAGAGCTGTTTCGTCACATTCGTCGCGTTGGCTGGTGTGCGTGCGAGTAGGTTGATACCCGTGTCGTGACATTCGGTGTAGAGTTAGGCCTCATTTACTCATACACATTGGTGACCGCATGAGGGGCAGACTAATGCCAGAAGGTCTCTTGTTTTCGTTGGTTTGTATTTTGCAGTGTTGGAATTCGTTTTTTGGGGCATTCCTTCTCCTTCATGGAATTTTCTGCAGTGTATTACGAGGGAGTCTAGGTGGGCGTAGAACTTCTGGCATACTCCGCATTGGACTTTTTCTCTGTCCTCACGCTCTGGTGATGGCTACGAATTTCGCTGGCGTTTTTTATTTCTCGGAAACGTTACTTGTATTGTTGCTGGCAAAATTGGAGTTCCAGACGGATGTTTAAACATTTTGTGGCATGCGAGAACTCCAATGTTGCCAAAGTCGCGTAGACAAAATTCGCATCGTAGTGAAGCAGGTTGAGGAATGAGTTGGGTGCGAGGTGCGTCTTTTTGTTGGGTTCTCAGGATGCCGTGCTCTAATATGGGGTTTGAGACCTGTTTTAGATCGCGCTACCATATCACATTTGTCACAGGGGATGCTGATCCTTCTGGTGGTATCGGTTCGTCGCCTCGCGGGCGTTTTCTCTCTGGGGCAGGGCATTTGACGTTGTGCATGTATCTAAGGCGGCGCGTTAATCCATTTTGGAGCGGAAATGTTCGTTTACATATACTGCAGGCAAACGGATGACGTTTTTGCTTTAGTCGAATTGGGGCGGGGTAACGTTGTGTCCGGAGGTGGGGGTTGTGAAGGTGGCGGAGGTTCTGGCGGGATGTCCGCCGGAGGTGGCTCATGGGGGAATTTGATCTTCCAGAGCGCATCGGTTCTCTTGAACCCATGTTTGTTGACCATATGTAGTACTGCGGCGCTCCTGCATGAGTATTGCGCCCCGCATTCAGTGCAGGTGACGGGGTCTGTTGCTTTGTTTAGTGCATAGCGCGCTCTTTTTTGGCTAGGTGGAATAACGGGTGTCGGCGTACTGACTTGTTGGGGTTGCACCATCGACAACGAGGGGGAATATGGGTTCTGTATCTTTCGCAGCAACCAGCCATAGCGATGCGAAGCAGCTGTGCGAAAACGTGCTAAGGCTGTTTCTTCTTCTCTAGTGAGCTCCGGATTGTCTTTGGTGGGGTTCCAGGGTCCAGCGATTTTTGATCTATGGGAGGGGGTGTATCCTCTCCTTTTAGTGTTTGTTTGGCGTAGGCTATTATATCTGTGATCCAAGTATCAGTTCTTTGTGGGAGCTCTGCAGCTTTTTTGGCTTCTGTGTCGCATTTTTCATTTTTTCACTACACCGCAGTGACCAAATATAAATTGTAGTCGTATGCGGGCCTTGCGACGTTGCACTTGAAGTATTAGGTTCCACAGGAGCCGTAGTATTGGGTCTTTTACAGTCAGTGGGCCTGTTTCCAGTGCCGTGAGAAGAGAGAATGAGTCCGTGAAAATGGAGACCCTGCAGGGCGTTGGGTTATTTGC